CTGCGGAACGCGCTCCCCGCTCGGAGGGGAGGCTTCCTCCCCTTCACGGCCCTTGCTGTTCAGGGGATGCAGGACCCAGAATGCATAGCTGCCTCCCGTCCCCTGCGTCCTTGAATTCAGCTTTTAGGTGGTGGCTCCCTCTTGGCGCTTGCCTTTTCAGGTGCTCAGTCCCCGGCTCCTCGCAGGGGGGGCTGTGGGTCTGGGGACCTGTGTTCAGCAGCACCCGGATTCTCCCGCACTAAAGCCTCTCTCCGTACAAAAGCATGAGTTTTTCCAAGCCAGTGCAGCCATCCGTTAGGAATCACATAGGAAGTTTTCCAGAAAGCCCTAGGCTTCAGGATCATGCAAAGATCCGTGGACTCTCAAATTTTATTTAATAAAAGTACACGAAGCAGGCCCTCTTGATTTAAACATATTTTTCCTTCAATCATAAGCACTGAAGGTTAAAAAATAATGCAAACCATCAAGACATCTTACTTTTTTAAAGTCATGATTTTCTAGAGAATCATTCAAGTTTCATGCTAGCAACAAGTCTTCAATCCTGGTGAATGTGTTCGCTTGCTTTTTTTCAGTTTGTTTGGTTTTTTTGTCGTTTGTTTTTTTTGTTGGTCCAGCACATGTTCACACAGTAAGGTATGAGCAAAGGAGACACAAAGACACAGAGTCAGCATGTAGATGTGTCTGTCATTAACTGTCCGAGTTAATCAGTGTTTGTGTGTTTATGGAGCGTTCAGTTTTGCAATGCTTGTTTCGTTTCAACCCTGACAAATAGTTCGTGTTTCTTTAGTCCAGTGACAATGACCTTCCTGACTGCAGGTTGCTTCTGGCCTGACAGGGCTGCCTGAAACTCCCAGCAACATGTTGCCATTTTTCCTGGAAGACCCTTGAAATCTTTATGTTATCCTATGATCAGAATTGGGGTTTTTTTCTAGCTATTGCTTTGCATTTCTACCCAAACTGTAAAAATACGGATTTTGCGTTTGCAGCTAGCACCATGCTGTATGATGAGTGCATGGCTGGTCATGTAATGGGCTGTTTGCATCCTCTTATTTCCCAGGGATTTCTCTGTCACTTGACCAGGCTGCAGCTATTCCTTGTCAGCTGAGTGATGTCTTTGGTCATGTACCAGAAGTACTTTTGGTTGTGTAGTTGAGAAGAATTTTTTTCTCGCAGATGTCTTCTCCTATCTTCATGGCGGTGCAAGTGTGAACTGCCCATCTTCCCAATTGGTGCACTTAGCAAATACCATTTGCTGTGGAATCCTCTGCTAAAAACACTAAAATGTAGAGCAGTTGTGGTTCTGATTTTGGAAAAACTGTAATGTCTAGCTACGTTTTTTCGAATTTATGCATTTCATGCTTTAGACTTCATACCACCCCAAAACTTAAACATGCTCTATGTCATCCTTTTGTAAATCATACTTTTCAAAATGGTCATAGGTTCTAGAATGTGTGCAAATCCTAGCTTATTGCTATTCCTGTTCCTTATATACTTTAAGCATGTAAGCATTCATTTTTCTGCATTAAAAAGTAATATCCTGGAGACCATCTAGCAATGTCAGAAACTAAAATATTCCAAACCTCACCTTCAGTTAGATGATAATAATGCTTTTCAGTTAATATATCAGAAAGGTGAACAGTCCCACAGTGGAGTCAATGGAACTCTGGAAGTCCATATACTGTTAAGACAATTCATTAAAACCCATTTATATTAAAAAGAAGGGAATTGTCTTTAATGAGGCAATATGCTTTCAAAAAGGAAAGAGTTAGAAAAGGTAACATGTCCTTACCGATAGGAAGTTAATAGTAATGAGTCTTAAAATAGGTAGGCTTTGCTACTGTTTTACTGGGAAATTCAGGGGCACGAATCAGACAGGTTCTAGCAAAAAAAAAAAAAAAAAAGTCTAAAAGAAAACTTCACGTAATAAAGGAATTGGATGTCAGTAGTTTCCGAGTTAGCATTACAATTCTTAAAGGTTACGTGCTTGGTTTATGGCATAAAATCCAAACCCGAGATAAGGCAGTTCACAAAGAGTGGCTGGGGAGCTCAGGCAGGTGGTGCACAACACCTGCGCAAGGAGCAGCGAGGCCGACCCACAGGGTAACCTGACATTTGTGTCTTTTTACTCTCAGCCTTCTCTGGAGCCAAGACGAAAGCTTGGCTGGCTGTGTCTTCCACGCTCAGGTAGAATTATTTTTAGAAAAATAACGTTGATGAAAATTTGATTTGAAAACCAATTTGTTTGTTTGTTTTCCTGTAATTGTGCCCACTTTATCCTGCTATGCTAGTACTGAGAAATTTAGGGAGGGCCAGGGTAAATAGAGATGCCATATGAGTCGCTAAAATCCTGTGGTTCCCTGTTATTGGGAAGTGACCAGAACCTTGTTCATTCCAGCTGAGGCTAAGTAAAAGCCTTAGCCAGTGTATATCTTGGGATGAAAACCACTTGTAATTCAGCAAAAGTCTATTACTTAGGTACCTTAGTTAAGTATCTACTAGTACTTTCAAGAGTTTGGCATATCCACTTGGCAAGTACTTTGGAAAGTCTGACCCATTTTGCCATAGTTAGCAAAGTACTTGAATGTTCACTTAAGTTCAGCTTAAAATCAAACATGTGAAATCATCCTGATTTCAGTAAAAAATAAGTGTGACCTTGTAAACAAGACATTCAGTGTCTTGGCAGTGAGAGGTCAGAAATACTGTGATTCTTGTGAAACTCGTGTTGTATGTAAGAACTCTATGTAATTCTTTTTACCTTTTGGAGAACCAGCTCAAAATGGATACCTCTGAATCTTTCACACATGCTCCCTGCCCTGAAAACAGGTAAGCACAAATGTGTGTATCTCTGAAGCCAGCATGAAGATATGAGTACTTGGTCCTTCCCCAGTAACCGGGAACCACAGCTTAATCTATATATTTATCAGTCCAGAATAACTGCCTTATTAACAGTAAAGCTTCTAAAAGTGCTCTTGATTTGTTCTGTGTGCAGACAACTTTTCTGAAGAATTTACCTGCTTGGTCACTTTTTAAATATTTTTTTTTTTTCTAAAAAAAAAAAAGCAACCAAACTTGCACAAGATAAACTTAGGTCAAGAAGTTCAGTTGCTGTAGTAATAGAAAAGCGCTAACGCTGTAATTTGTGTTTGAAAAGCACAGCAAGTACCAAATAAATTGATTTACTGCCAGACAAGTAAATATGATGCTGCTTCCTTGAAAGCCTAAGTGTCTTTTTGTGGTAAACTTATAATAATGAAGGTTAAGGGAGATGCTTAAAGATCAGATAAAAGGTCGCAGAAAAAGTTTATGTGGTTCTAGCAGATACAGGCAGTGTTGAGGCATAAATGTGACTTTTTAAACTGCAGCAATTTTTTTTTTTAGGACTGGTCATGTCAAGTCAAGGGTGTACATTAAAACAGTAGGTTATATTATTTTTTTTTAAATAATTCCCTTTTCTCAAAGCAAATTAGTATTTTATTTTCAGAAAGGCAGGAAGTTTCACGCATCTTAAACAGCAATGTGCAGCTTCCAGCCTGAGCCTGAGGAGTTGGAAGTGCTGGGTTACTGCATGGGAGCACTGCAGAGCGGCCCGTGCTCGTACACGCTCCGTGCTTTACGCAACTGATTTCTTCTTGGGACTCAGTTTCGCATTATTTGCTAGCTAGTAACCATCAGAAGTAAACGGATTCACAGTGAGAGCAATATTTTAATGATGAAACCAGTTTCCTAAATACAGTGCTTTAAAAAATACTTGATGCCAGCATGTTTATGTGTTGGGTATGAAAGAATGTTGCACAATATGGAAAACTTTGCAAGTGAACTACTTATTTACAGTCAGTAGCGCAAAGGAATGAAGAACAATGTCTAATCTATTACGTGCATTATTACCCAAATGGAGAGTTTTTATGTAATGTGCTGATGTGTATGTTTTAACCAAGTTTAGAAGAATAACAGGGGAAAAAACTTGGTAAATTAAGAACCCTCTGTAGCTGGGGAGGGGAGTTATTGAAGGATTGCGTCCATTAGTCAATACGATCAAATATATAATCTATGAGCCATTTGCTTCAGGTGGACACAAAGCCTATACTAGATTAATAGTGACCAGACATAACAGCTTGAAGCTGTAAGTACTGCATAGTGAGTCATTGGCCTACTTGGTGTAAAGCCTTTTAAACCTACCTACAGTGGTAGGTAACGTGGTACAAAAGAAAGTTCAAAATAAATCCCAAGTTGGACAATTACTGAGCAGTTTGACCAAGAACCCTTTTTTATTCTCAGTCTCTGCTTTCAGTTTGGGATTGGTTTTTTGGGGGGGGTTGGGGTTTTTTGGTAACATGGTCTATGATTTATTTGTCACTGCATTAATTGTCCTCTGTTTCTCCCACTCAAACTTTCCACTTTCTGTATGGGGTTGTGCACAATCTGTCAGGTGTGTTGTGGGGTTTAGCCTTCTTTTCAGCATCGGGCACAGGACCAGCTGACCACTGGACACGCTTTGAACCTGTCATCACCTCTGACATGAGGTGTTCTGCAGCATGAGAAGGATAGAGGCGGGCTTTGCCATGTAATGACTTATTCCTAAGTCTGTTTCCTGTTAAAACATCCCTAATGCGTGACATTTGTTTGAACTAGTAGTTATTTTCTGATGTTCAGCAGAATTGTTCCAGTTCTCTTATTGTGATTAAGATGTCAGAAGAGCCTCTCAAACTTCAATTTTTCGTATTATTCTACTTTTTTTTCTTTTTTTTTTTTTCTTTTGGCTGGAAATGGTGTCTCATTTAAAATGTGTCTCAGAAATTTCAGTCCCCTAAACGTTTCATGTTTTTGAAGTAACGGTGTAATAATTTTACCTTCTTTTGGAAATAATTTAGCCATCAATCTGAAACATGTATGTCGAATTTCAGCCTGGAGTAAATCTCAACTGGCAAAATTCTAGTAAGAGTTGATGGAAAATAGCTGTATTTTTATAACGGAAACATCAACTCAACCTTCACAGTTTGTGACATGGATGTATGAATGGATTTATAATTCATAGGAGATTAGAGAAGGTACCTGTAGCTACTTTATATTCAGAGTTTAACGGAGTGGTTTTCTTCTAGTGAATGATCAATTCAAAATATGCATACTTTAAATGATGACTTAGGAGTCAAGTTCATTAACTGAAAATATATGGTGTATACCTTGGAGATTTATGTTGTCTGCTCTTTTTCTCTTAGGAAGCCTGACAAATAGGAAAATACTACAAAGTGAAGAGAAAATTCACTTCACGAGAACTGAGCTCTGCTTTCATTGGCTTTTAAATTTTATTTGTATTAATAACTGATTGGTGTCAGATCATCTCTGTAGTCTGCTGTGGTGAAATTATTAGGTTAAAGCTGGAAAAAATGAAACAATTAAAAAGAAAAAGAAAAAGCAATTTTAGTGTTCAGGAAACTCAAACTCTCCTTAAGGAAATCAGAAAAAGGAGAGAAGTACTCTTTTCAAAGCAGCTTAATACAACAATTAATGAGATGAAACGGAAAGCTTGGGAGGAAATAGCAGAGTGTGTAAATGCTGTAGGTGAAGGAGAGCAAAGAACAGGGACAGAAGTGAAAAGGCGCTACCTTGACTGGAGAGCACTCATGAAGAGAAAACGTCTGAATGCAAACATCAAAGTAGTAGGTGCTGGGTTTCACCTTCCTTCATCCAATTTAGATGATTCTCTCAATGAAGACATGGATGAGAAAATGGGATTTGCAATTGAATCTAGTTTTGAATGGCAAAATATCACTGACTTCAGAGAAGCCGGTGGATCTTTAACAGAAATCAAAGTAGAAGAGGAAGAGGAGGATCCGCAGAATTTTGAAGTGAGTGGCTGATATACATTAGCTATATGCAATATGGCCTTTGTTTCATTTCAGCATAAGGCTTTTTGCTGTGTTTCTTCATAGCATCTGTTTGGTTTTTTTTTTTTTCCTGAATGTGTGAATTAAGGAAACTGTAGAAACAAATATGTTTCAGGGAGTTGGTGTTCAAATCTAGCAACTTGCAATTGTGTTAACGTTTTGGATGTTGATTATTACATTGATATCCCTCAACTTTGAATATGTATTTGCACATATATTTTCCATTTGTGTGTGCCACAGATAAGAATTAGTTCAGTCAGTAGAATGAAAATACGCTGTTGAAGGAAACTGGTTATTTTAGTACTTAGGCTGTCTGGATGGATGAACGCCAAAGAGAAATGCACCTCTTCAGTAAAGTTGCAGGTACAGAAAGAAATAGAATACTCTTTGCATTTCTCAATGTGAACCCACAGGAGATGAAAACATTACTTGAATAAGTCAGTCAGCCATTCCTACCTGTTAGAATTTTAGTGTGAATTTGACAAGCAGCTGTGGATCCTGTAGATAGGTTGTTACTCCTAGTAGTACTGTGGCTGTCCTGGGGTAGGCAGACAGCTGGAGTGAAGTCAAATGTTTGGATAGTTTTGTTGTACCTGTACAAATATATAGTTCTTATTTCAAAAAGGGGAACTCAAACAGTTTTGGGTTCGGGGTTTTTTTGGGGGAGGGGAAGCAACTCCAGTTTTGGTTCAGTTGAGATGTATGCTGGGAAAAAAATCAGTTTAAGCTGTTAAGTGGTGGTGGGACCACTGTCTGGCAACTGCTGAAGAACAGTGTCTGTCTGCTCTGATGCTAGAGGACTGGCAGTGGCTCTCATTGTATTAATGTTGTCTGAACCTGTATCTTCTCAGTTCGACTTCCTTCTGCAGCATACTTAGTGGGAGACAATTATCCCTTGTGTACTATGAATTTGTAGCACATAAGGGCTATAATTCCGCACGAGTTGTTACAGTCTGCCAAGAGCAATGGTCCTAACCACCTACTCATCTGCGTCATAAATAGCTTTACAGCAAATGTGATAATACAAATTGGTTAAACAAGTCCTGTTTATTGACCCACTTAATACAATATGAAGGATTTGGAGCATGTGAAAAATGTCAGTGTCAAATGTTTTTTAGAAATGGAATCCTCAAGTTAGCGAAGGCTGGGTTAGCTTACATGCCACATAGCCTATGGATCCAGCTGCTCTGATAAATAATTAGTCACAATAAATTCCTAGTGGCTTACATAAATGTCACTCAGCTATATGAAAAGTAGAGACAACATATGCTTTTTTGGATCCAGTTTTCTATCAGTGGTTCTGAATGTTCTATAATATCTATTGTGCAATATTTTCTGTATGTTCTTGCATGTCCACTGACAAACTGATTTTCTATTTTTCATTACCAGTCATTAATTGGTAGATAAAGTGTGTTTCTCTACCTTTGTAATGGTGGAACAGGCTTTTGATCTAATGTGGTTATTTCACAGCATGTGAGTTAAACAGTTCTGCGTAGCTTTTAAGATTAAAAACCCCAATATGTTCTTTTCAGTCAAGCTGCGTGCAACAAATTTATTCTGGCATAAAGACTGGAATGTAATTCTTGTCTATCGCGTTCCTCTCTGCAGTTTCCTATTGAGGAAGAAGAAGAAATTTTGTCATCAGTTTTGCCAGATTCAAAAAAGGAAAATGACCTACCAGACTTCCCCCACATTGAAGAGTTTGGAAATCTAAGCTCTGCTCAAGCTAGGCTAGCCTATGAAGATTCTCACTTGCTTATAAATCTGGAGAAGCAAAAGGTGGAGCTGGAGAAGCAGCGGCTAGACATTGAAGCCGAAAGGTTGCAAGTGGAGAAGGAACGCCTGCAGATTGAAAAGGAACGTTTGCGGCATGTTGACTTGGAGCGTGAGAGACTCCAGATTGAGAAGGAGCGACTTCAGATTGAATGGGAGAAACTCAGGCTAGAGACTCTGCATGCTGAAAAACCTGCCCTGGAAAATGACCTCACCCAAACAGAAAAACCCATCATGCAGCCCCTGGATCTAGAAACTGAAAAGTTAAAACTTGAAAAAGAACGTTTGCAGTTAGAGAAAGAGAGGCTGCAGTTCCTAAAGTTTGAGTCAGAGAAGCTGCAGATTGAGAAGGAACGCTTGCAAGTGGAGAAGGAGCGCCTTCGAATTCAGAGAGAGGGTCACTTGCAGTGAGCTTCTCAACTTAGTGTCAACATTAGTGTTCTGATGTTTGTAAAATAGAGGTAGTTCTTTTCTTAATACTGAAACTCTCCTAGAGGCTTAACATTCTTCTGTTCGGAGTTGAATGTTGATGTTAAACTGAAAAAAAAAAAAAATGGTGCTCAGTATGTCAGTGTGCCTACATAAATGAGCTTGTGTGTGAAATTGCTTTTCAGTGTATCAGAACTAAGTGTTACGTTCTCTTGTCTTCAGTATTGTGTTGTGTTAGTTCAGTGTCCTTCTCTCATTGAGAAGAACCGAGGCCGAACCTTGTACTTTTTTCACTGTACTAACAGTAGGGAAGGATCAGAATAAATCAACGTAAGTTTGTGAGGTCACAGTGTTGACCAGTAAATAAGTTTAAGTTAGACAGAACACAGTAACAGAGTCATAATACGATCTATTCATGAAACATGATTTCCTCTTTTTGGTTTTTTTTTTTCCACCCCCACAATTGGAAAAAAGAGTTCAAGAATTATGCAAAACTCACTGCAGTTGTGTTTACTGTTGTTCCATGGCTTAAACTGAATGGGAGTGCAGAAAATAGTATTCTTCCTTTTGCATGAAGTAATCACACTAGATGAAGTTGCACATCAACCCTACCTAGTATAAGCTGGCCTGTTGGTTGCACCAGGTCATTAATAATGCTATAGGGAATATAGCACCTGTCTTAGCATAGCATGGGGACTTACTGATTGATCAGGTATGCTGCCTGGTGGGTCTGTCATGACCCCCTGAAGTAAATCACTAGACCTGGTTTGGTCCCTGAAAGACAGTAGCTGGTGATGGGAGTTTCGGGAGTGGAGAGACACAGGCTGAGCCATGGACTAAGGAGCACTGAGCTTGAGCACAAACATTCTTCTGCCTGGCCAGTACTGAGGCCTTGTTCGTGATGCAGCCAGGAGAGGCTTCTCTGGCTGACATCCTATAGTGTGTTTAATTAGACATATGGAAATGGTCAGTGCTGAAGGCTGTCAGTGTTTTTCATAAGCAATGTATTCATTTAAAATTAAAAAAACAAGGAAGCTTTCTATTATTTCATACATGTTTAAATCCCAACTGAGCCAGAGTTCACATTTCTCATCTTTCTGCAAGTAGCTATCTTTTGTTGACTACATTTGAAACTTAGGACTGTGAGAATACTAAATCTGAATATATGTCGAGTGACTTACATGGATTCTTGTGCAAGTAAATATATTTATACCACTACAGGATTACTTTTATTCTGCAAAGAAAATGTTATTTTTTTATTACTGAAACAAGTGTGCTTCTACAGTGGAAATAAATTTGACTACTGCAACCCAGAATTGCTCTTGAGGCAGTCTTTCTTCACAGAGAAACAGGGCTAGGTATGAAGAGAAACTTGGATACTCGGCACTGGAGCACCCTGAAGTCGCTGGTGCTTGTATGCCCTTTGTAGTAAATCGGAGAGATGAGGCATCTCAGAATAGGACTTAAACCAACCAGTGCTTCACTGAGAAAGTAAAAAGGAAGGAGACACAAACCAGATGGATAAAAATGCCCCATGGGGAAGCATATCTGAGATTCCTCTTCCTGAACGTGGTGGGTTGGCCTCGGCTGGATGCCAGGTGCCCACCAAGCTGCTCTGTTACTCCTCAGTTGGGCAGGGGGAGAAAAATATGAGAGAATGCTCATGGATTGAGTTAAGGACAGGGAGATCACTCACCAGTTACTGTCATGGGCAAAACAGACTCAGCTTGGGGAAATTAATTTATTGACAGTCAAAATCAGAGTAGGATAACGAGAAATAAAACCAAATCTTAAAACACCTTCACCCCACCCCTTCCTTCTTCACAGTGTTAACTTTACTCCTGATTTTCTCTACCTCCTCCCCGGCCAAGTGGTGCAGGGGGATGGGGAATGGGGGTTGGGGTCAGTTCATCACACACTGTCTCTGCTGTTGCTTCCTCCTCAGGGCAGGACTCCTCATCCTCCTCCCCTGCTCCGGGCTGGGGTCCCTCCCACAGCAGACAGTGCTCCACGAACTTCTCCAGCCTGGGTCCTTCCCACGGGCTGCAGTTTTTCATGCACTGCTCCAGTGTGGGTCCATCCCTCCCACAGGGTGCAGTCCCTCAGGAGCAGACAGCTCCAGCGTGGGTCCCCGCGGGGTCACCAGCCCAGCCAGCAAACCTGCTCCAGCCTGGGCTCCTCTCCCCATGGGGCCACAGGCCCTGCCAGGAGCCTGCTCCAGCCCGGGCTTCCCATGGGGTCACAGCCTCCTTTGGGCACACCCCCCTCCCCGGGCTGCAGGTGGGGATCTGCTCCCCCGTGGGCCTCCCTGGGCTGCAGGGGCACAGCCTGCCCCACCATGGGCTGCCCCAGGGGCTGCAGGGGAATCTGCTCCGGTGCCTGGAGCCCCTCTTGCCCTCCTTCCCTGCCCCTGGTGTCTGCAGGGCTGCTCCTCTCACGTGTTCTCACTCCTATCTGATTGCTGTTGTGCAGCAGTTTTATTCCCATCTTAAATATGTTACCCCAGAGGTGCTACCACCATTGCTGATGGGCTCAGCCTTGACCAGCAGTGGGTCTGTCTTGGAGCCAGCTGGCATGGGCTCTATCAGACATGGGGCAAGCTTCTAGCCCCTGTAGCCCCCCCATCCCGCAAAAACCTTGCCATGCAAACCCAATACGCTGAAATAAAGTGACATATTTTCAGCTCCCTGATATGTATCAAACAAATTTATATTAAAAATAGCTTTCTGTGCCCATTACCATTTTCTCTTGACTTGGAGAAGTTACTTATCTTTCCCTTTTAAAACATGAGAGAGGCAGAATTCAGGAAGTTTGCCAGGATTGCCTGGTGGATAGGGCATTTACCCGGATAGTAGGATAGCTTGGATTCCATCATCACCGTATCCTGAGGTGACCAACTTTCTAGATAACCATTCTGATCGCCAAACAGGGTGAGTAGGAGCAAGAGGCAGCATAGCCGGCCATGCAAGAGGTAGTGACCAGGAGGACCAAGTGAGGACAGAGAACCCTCCTATGGTCTTGCCTGTGAGAAGTGCTTGGCCGGGAAGGAGCGGGCGTGGAGTCTGGCTTCTGTTTTGACAGGTAGTTACGCTGCTGCTTGGTACCAGCACCTCTGCCTTTGTATTTTACTCCAGTTGAATGACTTAGCCGTTAGGATAATGGTTTGTATTTTACGTTGGACATCTTGGGAATTATGCCCAGGAGCATTAAAGGTTTGGGGGAAAAATAAATAGATAGAGCTGAACCATTTCTGAATTCTGAATAATTTCAGAAATGTGAACACTTCTCCAAATGTGAATAGAGTTGTATGTAAGCAATTATTTCTTCTAAGAACTATTCAGCCTCCTAAGGAAATGATGCATCCTTTGGTTATACAAAACCTTTTGGAAAATACTGAATGATGAAATTAAGTGTCGTCATAAATCATTGAAAATACAGTTTCAACATAAAATTTAGAGAAAATTACAGAGTTTAATACATCAATTTTATAGCTTGCTTTTTTCATACCAAAATTGCAGTCATTTTGTGGTAATTTGAATTTAAATGTCATATTTTTAAATACTAATCTGCAATCTCTTAAACCTTAATTGCTTGATTTACCAACCTGGGATCCTGACAGCAAAGCCTAAGGGCAAGGTTTGGACCATGTAAATGTCACCAAAGTCAGGACCTATACCTGAACTCAGTTCCTCTGTTACACAGGGAGAGATTTTGGGCTCCTGCTTACAAGAAGGGCCTGTGATTGTAACAAGTGACATTTCCAGACTGGGAAGAGTTTTAAGACAAGGGGGAAACATACAGAGGAAGAAGCAAGTATTTGGAGAAGAAAAAAGGAAAGGTGTGAAGATCAAACATTTATTAAGAGGGAAGGCAGGTGAAACTGGTGCTAGATAAAACAGAGTGCTGGAGATATCCCCAGTGGTCATTGCGAGCTGCTTTCTTGATGCACTGATGTCAGATTTCATGGCTCTGCGGATCCTCATGGGAACGTACAGACAAGCAAGGCGATGGGTAAAGCACAGCCGGAGGTGCCGCAGGCAATTCCGCAGCCGCTGCGGAGGGCGGCAGGCTCACACGCCCCATGCGTGGCCGCGCCATTTCCTGTGCTGCAGCAAGAACGTGCACCGGGACCTTCAAAAGTGCCATTATGTCCACTGCTCCATGAAGGGGTTTCTAGTCAGTAATTTTAGGGGCAGGATGCCAAATAACAAAGGTAAAGTAAAGGCCACTTCAGAGAGTTTCTCGCTGTCTTATGATGGGTCCCACCAATTTGTGCCTGGCTAAGACATTAATGGAGAGAAGCAGAATGCATCTGGGTGTTTTCACGTGTTTTGGAGTCAGACTGACTCATGCTTAACAGTGCCCTAACCACAGCTGGGGCAGGTCATAAGGTAAGGTTGTAAATGTGGTCCTCAAGAGCAGGCCAGGATGAACAGCAGCCGTGCTCCCAGCAGAACGCACCTGAGGAGGCACGGTAAGATTCAAAAGCAATTTCATTTCCTTGAGTAAGGGATCCTGCATTATTTCTGGGCCACTTTGAGCAACTTTCACTGTGCATAGAGATGCTGCATGCAATGTATACACAAGGTATAAAATATTTATTTATTAAGACAAACAAGAGGTGGTTAGGAATTAGTAAAGCTATCAGGCGAAGCATTAGTATCCTCATTGCCTCAAAGCATTTTTGCTAGCCAGGCAGGCATCAGCCAGGAGAGGAAGGGCTCCTCAGCACAGCTCTCTGATGGTGCTGAGTTGCCATCTTCTGAGGGTTGGGGTTTTTCTTTTTGCTTTGGGATTTCTTAATCTTTCCATGTTGGTAGATCTTTTTTCCCCTTAAATCCTTAAAGTGCCACTGACATCCATCTCAACAATCCCACCTCCATCTGCAGAGACCTTACTTTGCTTGCCTCTTCTCTACAAACTTTCTGCGCTTTTTCTCACAACTTCACAATTTTCCCATCAGCGTGAGCCAAGGCTAGGCAGCCGCGCTGTCCTGGGCCCTGGATTAAAGACATAGTGGGGACACTACAGAGCCTGCAGAATTGATTGGACCCACCCAGTAGCGGTCCAGGAGGTCTTGCACAGTAGTGGTACTGGTCCGACCAACCTGCAGTGGGCAAAGCAGTTCTCCAGCACCCGCCTGTGGAGTTAGGAGCCCTGCAACTGGGTGATGGTGTCCTGGATGTCCTGCATGTTACTTCTGCTGCTGTCATCAGGATGATAGTGAGACTGGGCAAAAAAAGAGGCCAAGCCAGTATCACTCTCCTCGAGCTGTTTCAGGTGTTGGAAAAAGCTTCTTGATCACTGGCAGCTCTGTGAAATAGCATGACAGGCTCAAGAGAGAGAGAAAAGTAAGTCTTGGGTTCCTGTGAACTTCTCCAAGTAGAGTACGGAGCTCTTGGTTACATCAGGCTATTTGCCAGCTGCCTGGTGGTAGAAGTTGCCCAAACCACTGCTGCTATACCAGGTATTTGGATAATCCAGGACTGGATGTTGTGTGTATGAATCATCTTGAAATGGACAATAATCTGTCAGGTGCCTTTTCAAAATGTAGCTGAGTAATGTTCGTATTTTGTTTCCCCTCCCCCCAAAAGAAGTTTCTAGATCTGCCAGATTAAATCCCCCTTGCAAGTGGGAACAGAAGCTGATAACTCACATTTCTTTGCCTTTTTGTAGAACTTTTGAGGCAGTTGCTGCAAAAGAGCATCAGCGACATCACCTGCCCCTCCAGCTCACACGCCCCCAGAAGCCCCCCTCAGAAAGGCACAGAGTGTTCCAAGGAGACGGAGTCAGATCCAGGGCTGGTATTTCACAAACACAAAAATACCCTCAAAAATCCTACTCCATGTCAGTCAGGAGTCTTGGCAGAAGTGATGGGTGGGAGAAGAGGGAGGAGGGAAGACTGGTTTTTCTCTATTCTTGCTGAAATCAGTGAATTTAAGCCAGAGGGTGTCAGAAAATGCCACTAAATGCAATGGTGTTCACTTTTTCTTTTTCTTTTTCTTTTCCTTTTCCTTTCTTTTTCTTTTTCTTTTTCTTTTTCTTTTTCTTTTTCTTTTTCTTTTTCTTTTTCTTTTTCTTTTTCTTTTTCTTTTTCTTTTTCTTTTTCTTTTTCTTTTTCTTTTTCTTTTTCTTTTTCTTTTTCTTTTTCTTTTTCTTTTTCTTTTTCTTTTTCTTTTTCTTTTTCTTTTTCTTTTTCTTTTTCTTTTTCTTTTTCTTTTTCTTTTTCTTTTTCTTTTTCTTTTTCTTTTTCTTTTTCT